CCGCTTTTAGCATTATTCCAGCAACATAACGGCGGGGAACACCAGAAATGGGCTTCACACATTGTACCCATGTGGGGATTCGAACTCGGGTCTTCGGCGTGACGAGCCAACGCTTTAACCACTCAGGCTACCCCACCGCCCCGAGGGAGATAACTATGATTAGAACACACCTTCCTGTTTTGAAGGGTGTTTCTGGCCATGTTCAGGGGCGGTGGGGTAGCCTAGTGGTTAAAGCCTCCGCTCGTCACGCCGAATACCGGGTTCGATTTCCCACATGGGTACAATGTGTGAACCACCCCACCCTCTCCCCTTGGCTCCGCCAACGCAAAAAAATCTCACATGGGTACAATCTGTGAAGCCCATTTCTGATGTCCCCTGCCGTGATATTGCTGGAATATTGCTAAAAGCGGCGTAAAACTAAACTAATCAGCCACTCACTGACTGCAAGCCAGCCGAACTTTGTTGTATCCGACAAATATCAAACGCAAGACAGGGTATGAGATCGAACTCCCGAGTGAGTGAGTGAGTGAGTTAGTGAGTGAATAAGTGAAGTTTAATGCCATATTCAACACTATTCCAGCTATATCACGGCGATCTGGCCCAGGCATAGTGATTACTGAGCAACAGTCCACATTATCGGACTCATATCAGCCTAGTCACTGCCTGACCTACAGCCTACAGGGAAGAATATCCCAGAATGGGCTTTATCTTAGGGAGGTAGCGGACCGTGACGTGTGCTGTATGTGAAGTAGCGTTGTCATGCTGGAACAACTCCCTCTGTCGGTCCATAATCAGAAGCACGTGACCTGTAAGGACGTCGTTGATGTACCGATTTGCTGTCAATTTCCCCGGAACCACCACTAAATCAGATCATTGTGTGCTGGATATCGAACCCCACACCCCGACACTGTCTCCACCGAACTGTCGACCTGTCGAATGCAATTAAGGGCAAAACGTTCATTTCTCCGACTGTAAACACGCTGTCTTGCCGGTGACGAAGAAATCGTGATTCATAACTGAACCAGACTCGCCTCCAGTTTCTAAGGTTACAGTTCCGGACTCTACGACACCATCGCAGGGATGGAAGTCTCTCAAAACAGGGGCGTCAACTGGCCTTCTTGGTCGAATCCCCACTTCACGCAGTTTGGTCGGAGTTCCTTCTCAAACCATGGGTGCGTTGTACAGTCTCCACGGCTGTGGCAAAAAATGTCAAGACATAGAGATTCAGAATTGGTACGCTAAAATTATTTCTTCACCATTCCCAATGGACTACTCTATCTACAAGTCAATACTCGAGGCAGAGACATACATTACATAGTATTCTTCAGTCTGAGATATATTCTAAAGTCACTTTTGTGTATATGTTTTGGGACTTATTACAGCTGAAATAAAATGATATTACAATTGCCCGTTCATGAAAGAAAATCCCATTTGCAATTCTTAAACCGCATCTAAAGTACACATTTGGAAATATAAGGTGAACAGCTGGTAATAATGACGTTAGAATCATCATCATCATCATCATCATCATCATCATCACCATCATCATCATTACTGTTGGAATTGAAATAGAGTTGTCGTTCTTGTTTGAAGTAGTACTAATGTTCACACTTCCATATCATTCGTGATCAACTCGTGTTATTTCGACACAAACCAAATACCGACTCGTGCCCCTCCATAGGATTTACATTCGTGACCATATCGGCGTATGAACATCAGAACTACTTTAAATAAGAACGATAACTCTATTCCTGTTTGACTGACTGACTGAGACGCAGTTTTTTAGCAATATTCCAGCAACGTCACGGCGGGGGACACCAGAAATGGGCTTCACACATTGTAACCATGTGGGATTCGAACCCGGGTTTTCGGCGTGACGAGCCAACGCTTTAACCACTAGGCTCACACTCACACACACACACACACACACACACACTCTCTCTCTCTCACACACACACACACACACACACCTTCCTGTTTGATGCCAATATCACGGATGCACTCGTATATTGTATTGCTGTTTTGTTTCAATTTATTTCAAAGAATTAAACCTCTTTGGTACAACTAAAAGATGGAGAGAAAAAGTATATGCTATACATATTCTATCGCTTAATGACCAGCTGTTCACGTTATATTTCCTAATGTATATTTCTAAACAGGGTTTAAGAATCACAAATGGGATTTGTTTTATTGAATATACAAATAAAATAATCTTTTTACAGTTACAATAACTCCAAAAGCAGATACTCAAACATGATTTTTAAATATTTCTTTCAAAATGAGTATTCTTGTAACTCCGCTGTCATACCCCAGGTGGAATTGTAAGAAGAATACTCTAAAAACAAGTCAGACTAAAATATCCTCAGAGATGTGAAACATAAGCCCAATGGTAATGATTGAAATTAGTTATAAACAGATGTTATATTCTTGCTTTATAACTCGTTGAGATTTATAAATATATTTCCTAAAAATGTTAGAAGCGCATGTACAATCTTCAAAACAAGCCCTCAAGATCATCTGAAATACACTCAATCGGACCCATGAGAGCCGTTATGTAAACAAACGCACGTGCGTGTATTTGTTTCTCTCATCATCCATGGCATTATCCTTAAAATTAAAAACAATTGAGTTAGCTACGTTTTTTTGCACTTTTAATGTGACGATAAATATTTTGTCATGATTAAAAAAAAAAATGACAATGCCATAAACGATTTAAGTACTCGGGATTATTTTTATCAAAGCACCGCAATCATTACGCGCGTCCTGATTGGTTTGTCGTTCAGATTGGTTTGTGACACCCCAGCCTGAGGTCCAGTTAGGGGTGTGAATGGACAAGAACAGATTCCAGTGAAGACTTTCTAATTGCTGACATTGAAAACCAGGGAAAGAGAACTCTTATCTTCACCACCGCGGCCAACCTGGTTACCAAGTACCCTCGCGTCATGGGTTTCCGTGGTATTAAGAAATTTACGACTATGAATATGATCGCTCATATTGCCAAGTCATATAAACATTATATAGTGTTAGACAACATACCTTTGTATCATTTAATGTCAATGAAACACTTTTGTCATTCTGAAGTTCATTGTTGTCCGTAACGGACGACAGGCGGCCATTGTGCACAAACTCTGGTGACGTCATATGTTTCCGTGGTATTTCCTTCAGATCAAATTACGGGCGCACAGCACATGTCACAATCTCACACGTTGTCAACAGCCAATCCGGAAGTGTCAATGTAGGTTTACAGTAATATCGAAGTTGATAAATTGTAATACAGTAAACGATTTTGTAGAATTAACACAATAGTCACATATCTTCAGCATAAATTTCCAGTTCATAAAATATGTAGAGTTGATACGGGATACGTGAAATGAAAAGTAAGAAAACAACTTAAGAGATGACCCTATCGGGCTTCTATAGTTTAAAAAATAGAGCTGGGATTCCCCCCTTAGGTCACATGATTGTTTTTATTGATGCCATCAGCTAGAAGACGAGCGATGTTTGGAAAACTTTGAAGCTGAGTAAGTTTATAGAAAATGTTTGCAAAGATCGCGCAAAAAATGCATTACGTGCTAGACTTAAAGTTGCATTAGTTTTTAATAGTAGATGACTGTACGTACGCAAATTGATGAAAGTCTGAACATTTTTTGTTCAGACCCGTGCCGATCATCTGATGAACGTAACAAATCGATAGGTGGCGCGATTTGGCGAGTGGCTCGTGAGAAATTGTGAGTCATTAAAAAATACCACGGAAACGTAAGTACCACGGAATCATATGACGGCATGGTATATAGGTTACACAACACCAACTGTTTTCCCATAGACTTCTATAGTAACCTTATATTTTTTTTAAAAATATCCAGGCTATCAACAGCCATTCCATGTACACATGGGTACACTCTGGCCTTTAAACTACCATAAAACAAAATATCAGGCCAACTTGTCCGGCTCGTTTTGCGAGCATAGGAAGCGGAACACATCAACCCTAGTTCCGCACCAAATGCCACCTACTGGAAAATATCTGTACACACAATAAGCATAAGTGATGGTGATAAAAATGACATAACTAAATACTTAAAATTGTGGTCAGTTTTAATTACTGGTTGGATGTTTTAAAAACATAAACATCTTACACTATTTCATCCAATCACAGCTGTCACATGTCTCTGTCTCTTCACTTGTTCAGGGAGCATGTGATACTGATTTAGTGTAGTTGAACCTATAGACTATGTCAGGACACAGTGGATAGAAGGAGCATGGCGAATCCAGACCTGGAACCATTACACCAACGACACCCACAGGACTATCAACATCCTAGAAGGATGGCATTACAAACTGAACCAGCAGACATCATCCTATCCGAATATCTTCTCCTTCATCACCACGATCAAGAGAGAACAGTCAGTCACTGTTCAAAGTGAAGATAGCAAGAGAGCCGAAACATCCCCGACTCTGTGTTGAAGCTGACCAGCGCATCCGCCGGGAGAAGGGGAGACTATAGAGCGGCGTTATCGGATTAATGGGCTACACTGACTGTGTCCTTGGAGTATGGTGATCATGTGTAACATTCCTACAAACTGAAAATGTGTCAATGAAATAATGTTTCATTTTATTGAATGCAGATATAGATTGGGATCGGGTGGACTACGTACTTTATGTGTTTATAGCTGTTTTACAAACGTATTGTTCCAGTTGAATCACGAAAGGTGACGTTTAAAATACCTTTACACTTATGTTGTTGTTGTTTTTTCATTAGTATTCTCCTTCAAGAGGACGCACGCAATCATTTAGGCATAAAGTCATGTCAGAGAAAATGTTGTGATGGGTGGGGAAATTATGAAACTGTCTCAAGACCAATCTTACAGCCCCGGCCACCCATATAATAGTTAATCAACAGCCCCTATCAACAGCAGCTCCTGACATTATCTGTGTGCACACATAGTACGGCAGTAAAGATAGCCTAGTTTTAGCGAGAAGGTGGCACAAGAGGTTGACGTTATCATTCGGAACACACACAGGTTGCACACGCTGCTCTCTGTTCTTCAGTCCACACCAGGACAAGGTTCAGCAGCCCGGTTAACGTGGTTTTGTAAACTGTGGGACATTGGGAACACACCTGTCGGGGGTTCGCCCTATATTCTAAGAGATACATCTCCCTCAACAGGATACAACTCACGGATGAATGGGACCAGGCTGGAAAGAGAGAGGGTGTCGTGGAGAAAGGTATTTCACTGTTGGAATTCTTTGGAATATTTTATACATGATTGTATCAACCATAAATATTAATATTTTAATCTCCAATTACAAAACAGACGTGAGTACATGTGCTTCGAGTGGGTCGTAAGAAACTATCAAGATGGCGGTCTGTTTGTTAAAATGGCTGCATTGATGGGTTGTCCAAACGGAATATTAAGGCCACATCTACGTCCCTCAAAAGGTTGAACGATACGTATTGACTTTGCAGATAATTCAGAGTCTATTAGTGAGTGAGTGAGTGAGTGAGTATAATTGTACGACGCTTTCAGCAATATTCCAGCAATATCACGGCGGGGTACACCACAAATGGGCTTCACACATTGTACCCATGTGGGGAATCAAACCCGGGTCTTCAGCGTGAGGAACGGACGCTTAACCATTAGGCTACCCACCGCCCTAAGGAGTCTATTTAACTGCTGGGGAAAGTTTTTAAACACCCATGGTGGTGCCTACAAATGAAATGTAATCGATAAGGGTCATTGTCGATCATTGTTCTGCTTTGGACCTAAAGATTCCCTTGTCTTAGTTTGCAGTAATGCTTTGATAACATTTATAATTTGTCAGTATATCTAATATTCGTGCGTGTACTTTCTTTAGCCAGCCAGTCTTATTCAGGCTTTTGGATACAGCGTGTTGACTTTTGCAGTCCTTTGACACTGGGTGTTGTACATAGAGAGTGGTAGATAACAGAATGTTACGAGACAGCATCACTCCATCCGATTATCTTGTGAATGTGTTATCCTGCATTACCAAGCATATATTTTAACTCTTTTTAAGAGTAAAGTCCTCTTTTGAGAGTAGATATGTTTTAGTTATTTACGAAGGCCTTTTAGGGCCATGCGTTTTTCCTTTTCTTGAGGGGGCGGTGGGTAGCCTAATGGTTAAAGCGTTGGCTGGTCATGCCGAAGACCCGGGTTCGAATCCCCATATGGGCACAATGTGTGAAGCCCATTTCTGGTGTCCCCGCCGTGATATTGCTGGAATATTGCTTAAAGCGGCGTAAAACCAAACTCAGTCAGTCTTTTTCAAGAAAAAAAATATGAAAAAACAACCCCGAATGGTCCTAAAGGTTTCTGTAGTTATCAGTATTCTTTTGCTACCGTTTGGTGGGGCTACTTTCTGTACGCTATCCTGATATTTGTATATGCTGGCGGGTGGAAAAGGGAACACTACATTTGATAATGTTGTGTAGATGTCCAACCCGCCCCAGCAGTTACATGAGCCACAAATACAAAAGGGGCGGTGGGGTAACCTGGTAGTTAAAGCGTTTGCTCGTCACGCCGAAGACCCGGGTTCGATTCCCCACACGGGTATAATGTGTGAAGCCCATTTCTGGTGTCCCCTGCCGTGATATTGCTGGAATATTGCTAAAAGCGGCATAAAACCCAACTCACTCACACAAATAAAAAACGATATGTAAAAGCAAATATTGTCTCGGGTTTTATGAAACAATAATAAGACGTGTTCAGTGGGCATAGTGGATGACGTGAAAACTTAGAAAAATCTAAATTTTCTTTAACCCGTGAAGGTCCGGGTTAGAATGAACCTCCAGTAACCCATGCTTCTCGTAAGAGGCGACGAACGGGATCGGGTGGTCAGGTTCGCTGACTTGGTTGACACATGTCATCGGTTCCGAATTGCGCAGATCGATGCTCATGCTGTTGATCACAGGATTGTCTGGTCCAGACTCGATTATTTACAGACCGCCGCCATATAGCTGTAATATATTGCTGAGTGCGGCGTAAAACTGAACTCACTCACTCACTCACTAAATTTTCTTTAAAGGCAGTGACCAAAATATATCCACAAAAATTAAGATTCAAAACACACGAAATGACGTGAGAGGTTTTACATCTGTGACCTTGTTCCCATTCGATCAACGACCCGTGAAGATACGGGTTAGAATTGGGTTTTCAGCAACCCATGCTTGTCGTAAAAGGCGACAAACAGGATCGGGTGGTCAGTTTCGCTGACTTGGTTGACGTATGTCATCGTATCCCAATTGGGTAGATTGATGCTCATGTTGTTGACCACTGGATTGTCTGGTCCAGACTCGATTATTTACAGACCGCCGTCATCTACAGCTTTAGCTGTAATATTGCTGGGTGCGGCGCTAAATAACACCCCAACCAACACCCCAACCAACCAACCGACCAACCCTTCCATCAGCAGATATGGAAATATTCCTTTGTTATATAACAACGTTATTTTTTTATGTTATCGCAGTGCATGTCCCGTAACGTCGCTGTCGTGAGTATCGTCATGGTTGCCGTCATCGTTGTCATTTACGGCATGGCTGTGAGGAATAATCAGATGCGTGTCACAATCTTCAGCCTTGCATCAAGGAGTAATTCATCGGCTGGGGATATAATGAGACATTCCCAGTATATAATATACAGATGCTTGAAAGGCCGGCAATGCGGTGGATATGCAGATCGTCAGAAAGGCATCGTTGCTGGTTACGTCACGTCGGTAATGACGGGTCGAGGGTTTGGTATAGAGATGAACAAACCTTGTGAGTTGTCAAACTTTCTCCGCCCAAATAAAGTGGACTGGACAGTCAATCCTGAGATACACAAACTCAAATCTGACACGTGTAGAAAGCTCAACAGTGGGGCACATTATTTGCGCGTGAAACTATCTACTGATGACGTCGGCAAAATCTTCCCAGAAAACATAACTTATCTCACTGTTAATACAGATTTTGTTCAATATCTGAAACAGAATATCAAATACAGAGATAGTCTTGGGTGGATGACGAATGCTACTGTGGGTGAAATCTATGCCAAATCGTGGAGGACGTTGTTTCGTTTAAAGGATGATTTGCAAAAGGATCTGGATAAATTCCTATCTCTTGTTCCAAGGAACTACTCGCTTATTTGTGCACAAATTCGTATGGGTAAGAATCCAAGTATTCCAAATGATAGCGAGACAAGAAACGATCCTGAAAGCGTTGAAACAATATGGAAGTTTCTGGAACAATATAACGACACGTCAAAATATAAAATATTTGTGTCGACAGATTCAGAAAATATAGGAAATGAAAGCCTTCGACTTTTCCCAAATACTTCTGTGACACTTCCGGGTGTTATTGCGCATGTGGACAAGTCACCTCGATGTGAGGGCTTCCGGAAGGTGATACTGGACCAGGAAGTGCTGAGTCATTGTGACACCCTGTTGATCACCAACAGTGGTGTAGGGAGGATAGCAGCCTTTTTTAGACAACGAGAAGATAATCTATATTGTTTCATGAATCGACAACTCACTAAATGTAATTATACCTCTCCAGAATTTATGCCCAAGAGCTGGTAGGGATATTATTTGACGTTCCCAGTTAACTATTTAATGTACTAAAATGTTTAAAAAGCGATACTTTGGGGTGAATTTTCTTGAAATAGTTTGACACTGTTTAGTTAATAAAACATGAACAGTTTTAGCTGGAATGGCGGATGTCCTGAAAATAATGTGTTGTGTTTTTAAAAAAATAAAATCCTTCGGCTCCTCTTTTTATAGAAAAAAACAACAAAAACACACTTACATACACAAACTGAAAAGAAGTCCTGTTTCAAACTACAACCCCAGCCACCACCAAATATTATAAAATTAATGACGGCTCCCGAAGCACGTCCCCTCGACACTGATGAACAGTAAATTGTGGAACTTTCAACTATACTGAGGGAAACAAATAAGGGAACACCACTTCATGGCAGTGTTCTTTTATTTATTCTCAGTCCCCCAACGGTGTTCAAAACTTGTGATGGAAACTGGGAAATATTAAAGGAACGCTTGAATTTTCTTGTGTTCCTTTATTTGTTTCCCTCAGTATATATATGCTCTGACGTCATTATTGCCACGTGGAGATATCTTATCTGTTCACAAACATGGCTGAGGATTTTGTAAACGTAGATATTTTAAGATTTACTTAAGTTTTATTCCATGTCCCGTCAGAGCCTGTGATACTGTGACCTAGACATGCCAGTGGGAGCTCGAATCTCCAGTGTAGCTTGAGAAAGTAGGGGGATTGCCATGGAATTCTGTTTACAATGTTTGACCACATGTGCAGAAGCAAGCGAGAGTTGCGGTGACATCGGTATCTCTGAGTGTGTCATAATCCACTTGAAACGTTTATGGAGTGACAATGAAATGAAGACGCCTGTTTGCCACTGACAACAGATCCAGCATAAGCATAACTAAACTGTCGTGGGATATAATACCATGTACAGGGGCCTCAATTACATACACACTCTTATTACAGGTCATAACTAAACTGTCGTGGGATATAATACCATGTACAGGGCCTCAATTACATACACACTCTTATTACAGGTCATAACTAAACTGTCGTGGGATATAATACCATGTACAGGGGCCTCAATTACATACACACTCTTATTACAGGTCATAACTAAACTGTCGTGGGATATAATACCATGTACAGGGCCTCAATTACATACACACTCTTATTACAGGTCATAACTAAACTGTCGTGGGATATAATACCATGTACAGGGGCCTCAATTACATACACACTCTTATTACAGGTCATAACTAAACTGTCGTGGGATATAATACCATGTACAGGGGCCTCAATTACATACACACTCTTATTACAGGTCATAACTAAACAGTCGTGGGATATAATACCATGTACATAGGGCCTCACCATTACATTACACACTCTTATTACAGGTCATAACTAAACAGTCGTGGGATATAATACCATGTACAGGGGCCTCAATTACATACACACTCTTATTACAGGTCATAACTAAACAGTCGTGGGATATAATACCATGTACAGGGGCCTCAATTACATACATAGAGAATACTGCCGTCTCATTATACGAATTATACGAAACGAGTCACGAGTTTCGTATAATTCTGTATGTAATGAGACCGAGTGTGGTATTTTATTTATTACCCACGTCTTACATGCATCAAATTGAGAAAATAGCGTATTTTTGTTACGTTTTTGGTTTCACTCGTGTGACGTACGAGATTAATATGCAACTACCAATGCGTTGACCTCGTTGGTAATAAACACTCTTATTACAGGTCAAAACTAAACTGTCCTGGGATATAATACCATGTACAGGGCCCTCAAGTACATACACACTCTTATACCATGTACAGGGACCTCCATTACATAGACTCTCTTATTACAGGTCATAACTAAACAGTCGTGGGATATAATACCATGTACAGTCGTGGGGGGGCCTCAATTACATACACACTCTAATTACAGGTCATAACTAAACTGTCGTGGGATATAATACCATGTACAGGGGCCTCAATTACATACACACTCTTATTACAGGTCATAACTAAACTGTCGTGGGATATAATACCATGTACAGGGGCCTCAATTACATACACACTCTTATTACAGGTCATAACTAAACTGTCGTGGGATATAATACCATGTACAGGGGCCTCAATTACATACACACTCTTATTACAGGTCATAACTAAACAGTCGTGGGATATAATACCATGTACAGGGGCCTCAATTACATACACACTCTTATTACAGGTCATAACTAAACAGTCGTGGGATATAATACCATGTACAGGGCCTCAATTACATACACACTCTTATTACAGGTCATAACTAAACTGTCGTGGGATATAATACCATGTACAGGGGCCTCAATTACATACACACTCTTATTACAGGTCATAACTAAACTGTCGTGGGATATAATACCATGTACAGGGGCCTCAATTACATACACACTCTTATTACAGGTCATAACTAAACAGTCGTGGGATATAATACCATGTACAGGGCCTCAATTACATACACACTCTTATTACAGGTCATAACTAAACAGTCGTGGGATATAATACCATGTACAGGGACCTCCATTACATAGACACTCTTATTACAGGTCATAACTAAACTGTCGTGGGATATAATACCATGTACAGGGGCCTCAATTACATACACACTCTTATTACAGGTCATAACTAAACTGTCGTGGGATATAATACCATGTACAGGGGCCTCAATTACATACACACTCTTATTACAGGTCATAACTAAACTGTCGTGGGATATAATACCATGTACAGGGGCTCAATTACATACACACTCTTATTACAGGACATAACTAAACTGTCGTGGGATATAATACCATGTACAGGGCCTCAATTACATACACACTCTTATTACAGGTCATAACTAAACTGTCGTGGGATATAATACCATGTACAGGGGCCTCAATTACATACACACTCTTATTACAGGTCATAACTAAACTGTCGTGGGATATAATACCATGTACAGGGGCCTCAATTACATACACACTCTTATTACAGGTCATAACTAAACAGTCGTGGGATATAATATACCATGTACAGGGCCTCAATTACATACACACTCTTATTACAGGTCATAACTAAACAGTCGTGGGATATAATACCATGTACAGGGCCCCACAATTACATACACACTCTTATTACAGGTCATAACTAAACAGTCGTCACGATATATACCATGTACAGGGGCCTCAATTACATACACACGTCTCTTATTACAGGTCATAACTAAACGTGTCGTACGAGGATATAACTACCATGTAGGGACCTCAATTACATAATAAACACTCTTATTACAGGTCATAACTAAACTGTCCTGGGATATAATGGGATATACTACACACTCTTATACCATGTACAGGGACCTCAATTACATAGACACTCTTATTACAGGTCATAACTAAACAGTCGTGGGATATAATACCATGTACAGGGGCCTCAATTACATACACACTCTTATTACAGGTCATAACTAAACTGTCGTGGGATATAATACCATGTACAGGGGCCTCAATTACATACACACTCTTATTACAGGTCATAACTAAACAGTCGTGGGATATAATACCATGTACAGGGCCTCAATTACATACACACTCTAATTACAGGTCATAACTAAACTGTCGTGGGATATAATACCATGTACAGGGGCCTCAATTACATACACACTCTAATTACAGGTCATAACTAAACTGTCGTGGGATATAATACCATGTACAGGGGCCTCAATTACATACACACTCTTATTACAGGTCATAACTAAACAGTCGTGGGATATAATACCATGTACAGGGGCCTCAATTACATACACACTCTTATTACAGGTCATAACTAAACAGTCGTGGGATATAATACCATGTACAGGGGCCTCAATTACATACACACTCTTATTACAGGTCATAACTAAACAGTCGTGGGATATAATACCATGTACAGGGGCCTCAATTACATACATAGAGAATACTACACGAGGTCTCATTACATACGAATTATACGAAACGAGTCACGAGTTTCGTATAATTCGTATGTAATGAGACCGAGTGTGGTATTTTATTTATTACCCACGTCTTACATGCATCAAATTGAGAAAATAGCGTATTTTTGTTACGTTTTTGGTTTCACTCGTGTGACGTACGAGATTAATATGCAACTACCAATGCGTTGACCTCGTTGGTAATAAACACTCTTATTACAGGTCAAAACTAAACTGTCCTGGGATATAATACCATGTACAGGGCCCTCAAGTACATACACACTCTTATACCATGTACAGGGACCTCCATTACATAGACTCTCTTATTACAGGTCATAACTAAACAGTCGTGGGATATAATACCATGTACAGGGGCCTCAATTACATACACACTCTTATTACAGGTCATAACTAAACAGTCGTGGGATATAATACCATGTACAGGGACCTCAATTACATACACACTCTTATTACAGGTCATAACTAAACTGTCGTGGGATATAATACCATGTACAGGGGCCTCAATTACATACACACTCTTATTACAGGTCATAACTAAACTGTCGTGGGATATAATACCATGTACAGGGGCCTCAATTACATACACACTCTTATTACAGGTCATAACTAAACAGTCGTGGGATATAATACCATGTACAGGGGCCTCAATTACATACACACTCTTATTACAGGTCATAACTAAACAGTCGTGGGATATAATACCATGTACAGGGGCCTCAATTACATACACCTCAATTACATACATACACACTCTTATTACAGGTCATAACTAAACTGTCGTGGGATATAATACCATGTACAGGGGCCTCAATTACATACACACTCTTATTACAGGTCATAACTAAACAGTCGTGGGATATAATACCATGTACAGGGGCCTCAATTACATACACACTCTTATTACAGGTCATAACTAAACTGTCGTGGGATATAATACCATGTACAGGGCCTCAATTACATACACACTCTTATACCATGTACAGGGACCTCAATTACATAACTCAAACTAAACGTCGGGATATAATACCATGTACAGGGGCCTCAATTACATACACACTCTTATTACAGGTCATAACTAAACAGTCGTGGGATATAATACCATGTACAGGGGCCTCAATTACATACATA